AAATAGAAGAATATAAAGCAATAATATTGGTAGGAACATGTGTGCTTACAAGTTACATGTATGAAAAACACTATCAATTCTTGAGAAAACAACAAATTATGTAGTATTGCATTCTGTCAAATTATACTATATGCATGCACGCCAAAACAAATTACAAACTGGAGATTATATAATATTAGTATACTACAAAATAAAAAAATAATTATTACCTTATGAAGAAAATGAGTAAATTTTGGTGATTAGACTTGTTATTTCAAAGAGTAATAGGAGACGAAGAAAAGAATAAATGACACAAAGACAAAAGAAGAGATCTATTATAGTAAAAAGATTATTCCAAATAGGAATAAGAGAAGAAGAATAAAAATATGGGAAGACATTTTTGTTTTGAAAAAATTAATTTATTAATTCAGCTTCTTGGAAGAAGCTAGAATTTATAGCTTTTTCCCAAAAGCAAAAATACTGTTTCTGCAACTGCTCAAAAACACTTTTATACTTTAGTCAAACACCTCATATTTTCAAATACGTACTTCTTTTGGCAAAACAAAAAATATTTTGACCTCCCAAAAGCTTGGTCAGACAGACTCTTAATGTAAAAGGCTTTTAACATTTTTCTATTACACTAACTAAGGTACAACCTTGATGGTCCTTGTTAATTTAGAATCACCGGAAGGCAAAGACGGAGACAAGCTTCTACAAAGGGAAAAATATATTCACAAAATAAATAATTTTCAAAATAGACCCCACATTTATAAACAATATAATTAACTTGAAATAAGAAATAAAGCGTTGTAAATTTTTGCAGTTCAAACCTAAACGCACATAAAAATTAAGTCGTAATGAACTAATGATAGACCGATATCTTTTGTTCAAAATATAGGTACCAGAGGTATGTATTTTACCCGAAATTTCTTTTTTCTTTTTTCATAACATTGTTTAAGTTTTGGATATTCAACTTAAAATATGTATATTTATATGCATATTGCCTCGTATATTAATCATATTTCGTGGATTTCAGATGTGTAATGTAATAATATATTCTAATTCGTGGTATTTTTATGCGTAGGAGTCACCCGAAAGCAATGTGGGACGAAAGCACACAAGTTGAAGCGAAAAGAGAACAAAAGAAGAAAATGACCCGGTGTAGCGTCTAGGCCAGCGCGTCGCGCTGCCTGGGGCGCAAAGTACAATTCCAAATTTTTGAGGTCAGCGTGACAGACTACCCTAGACACTGGCTGACGAGAATTCTCCTACTTCGGCATGGGACAAGGTCTTTCGTTCCTACACATCCTAACTTGTATAAGAAGAAGTCTAAACTTATTTTGAAGGGAGAGACGCTACTATGAGAGGAAAACACACACACGAAATACTCGGAAGCAAGGACTCTCAGTGTTTCTTCATCTTTCTTAGTATTTTCAACTATTCAACACTTGTGAAATTATTTAACTTTGTCATGAGTGGATAAAACCCATAAGTTCTGGGGTTATGATTTAGCCATGAATATTGTTGTTCGAAGTTGATTTTACCTTGATTATAGTTTGCTAATATATGGTTGTTTTTTGAATTCTGTGATTAATTGTTTGATTGTCTGGCCAACAGTTAGGTTCTATTTACTATCTATGTTATGCTTAGGAAAACTATATCTAGATTAGAGAAAAATTGAAGAAGGCATCATCTTAACTCTGAGTGAAGGGGGCGAATTTATGGTTAGGATAGGAATATACCTAATTACCATACTTAATTGAATATTGTAATCTTAATGTGTTCTTAATAGATTGATTTCATAGGAATATAGACATTAATCTCTTTTGAATAGGTGAGTAGTAATTCGAGAGAATGCTACAAGAGCAATTTCTCGATTAATTAACAACTATGAGCGAATTGTATGAAAAAAAGAGTTAACTAGAACGCAATATTATTAGTAAATCGATCACAACTTCGGAATGTTTATCTCTAATGAATTCTCAACAACCATTTTCTTCTTGCTTAATTAGTTAATTGTTACATTCATTGCTCAGTTATAATCACACCATTCAACTCTGACTGACTCGACTAAACAACAATTTTAGTGAAATTAGTAGGTAGTTAACACAAGTCTCTATGGGTTCGACACTCTACTTATCATTATATTACTTGTTGACTACGTATACATGCGTGTGCATTTGGGAGCAACAAGTTTTAGGTGTCATTGCCGGGGGACTTGAATATTGACTACTTTACTAGCTTTTACTTTCGTTGTCTATTTCATCAAGTCTAACATTTCTCATTGATTGATATGATCTTAGGAACTTTGATTGAATGCAAATGGTCAGGAGCCAAGATAGACTTCAAGGTTTTGACCTCGAACCTGAGCGAACATTTCACATGAGGTTGAGAGAAGCAAGGGACACAAATAATCTTCGGGCACTTGTTCAACTACCTGTGGACATGGCAGACGAGCAACATATGGTTGTTCAGGAGGTGTCGATACCTAGCATTGCTAATGTCACCTCCAGCATCGTGAAGCCTAGAATCACGAGGCATTTTGAGCTTAAATAGAGCATGATCTAGTTGCTACATGCAAATAGGCTATTTATAGATCTTCCACATGAGGATCCACAACAACACATTCTGAACTTTTTGGAGATTAGTGATAATTATATCACTAATAGAGTCACCCCAGACTATATGAGGCTCACACTGCTTCCATTCTCTCTCTTGGACGAAACAAAAGGTGGTTGAAGGTGGAACCAGCTAACTCTATTACATCATGGAATGATCTGGCTAGAAAAGTTTTGGCACGGTTCTTCCCCTCAGGCAAAACTGCAAAAATCAGAAGTAAGATAGTTGTTTTTAAATAGAAGTCGGACGAGTCTTTATATTCAGCTTGGGAGAGGTTCAAGGGGCTGCTTATAGATTGTCCTCGTCACAACTAGACGAACGAAGTATTGGCTCATACATTCATTGAAGGGATACATCTAAAGACAAAAATTATGGTCGATGCTGTTGCGGGAGGCCAAGTGTTGGAGAAATTCTTTGATGAAATTTATGCATTATTGAATAGATTCTCCAAAAGTAATTCTGGTTAGCAAGGAGATATGGGTAGACACACAGTTCAAAAATTTGCAGCGGTCCTCGAGTTAGATGTCGTTTCTGCATTATCAGTGCAAGTTGCCACATTGGACAATAAAGTCAATAAGATGACCTTGGTTATCAATAAGCAATAAGCTCAGCCAGTGTAGCATGTTCAGATATTTTGTGAAGTATGCGGAGAGGGTCACACGAGCGATCTATACCCAGCAAATCTAGAGTCTGGATGTTTTGTATGTAATGCAAATTGAGGCCAGACAAATCAGTATGGGAACATTTACAATCCTAACTGGAAAAACCATCCAAACTTTTCTTGGGGTGAAAATCAAGGTGCTCAGAATCAGTACATGCCACAAGCTCCTCAATAACAATATAGACAACCATAGGCTAAATAACCTACGAACAAAACAAGTCATATTGAAGAGATGCTAAAGAGATTAATGGCTGACCAACAGGCCCAAGTGGCAGCCCACTCAACTGCTATTCTAAATTTAGAACGACAAATAGGGAAACTTGCCAATGCCCAAAATACTCGACGAGCTGGGGATCTTCCAAGAGAAACTGAGGCTAATCCTTAGGCATCTATTAATGTTGTGTCACTAAGGAATGGGAGACAGTTAGAAGAAGTCCTATCGAGAAAAAAAAGCAAGTGACTTTTAGTAAAAAATAGACTACCATAGAAGCGGAATCAGAAAATTCAAAAGAGTCAGAGAAGCCAGTTAAAGAGGGAGTGGCAAAGCAACCACAACCAATATTTACGAAGCCACCACCTCCGTTCCCTCAAAGATTGTAGAAAGTAAAGGATAATGCTGCTTACAAGAAGTTCCTTAGTGTTTTGAAGCAGGTGAAAATTAATATTCCGCTGGTAGACATCTTATAAGAAGTGTCCATATATGCAAAATATATCAAAGACATAGTGGAAAACAAGATGAGGTTAGCCGAGTTTGAAACCGTGGCACTCATTGAAGAATGTAGCTCAAGAATTCAAAGCAAAATACCTTAGAAAGCAAGTATGACCATGGGCTTGGGATATTTGAGGAGTTGGATCGACCAGTTACTCTAACCCCTCTGAATTCGTCTGTTGAAAAAGCTCCGAAATTGGAGCTCAAGCCTCTACCTGCACACGTGTACTATGCCTACTTGGGGAGTTATGAAACATTTCTATTGATTATTTCATCAAGCTTGACCAATTTACAAGGAGAAAAGCTGCTAAGGGTGCTTCATGAGCACAAAAGAGCCATTGGGTGAACAATTGTGGAAATTAAGGGAATCAGTTCATCATTTTGCATGCACAAGATTTTTTTGGAAGATGGACACCACCCCAACGTTAAGAAATAAAGGAGGTAGAATCCTATTATGAAGGAGGCCGTGAAGAAGAAAGTAATTAAGTAGCTTGATGCAGGTATTATCTTCCCTATTTTGACAGCAATTGGGTAAGCCCAGTGCAATGTGTGCCTAAAGAGGGTGGGATGACTGTAGTGGAAAACGGGAAAATGAGCTAATTCCTACTCGCACAATGAAGGGGTGGAGAGTTTGCATTGACTGTAGAAGGGTTAACAAAGCAACCCACAAGGACCACTTCCCACTTCTGACCAAATGTTGGACAGGTTGGTTGGGCATGAGTATTATTGCTTCCTTGATGGTTATTCGGGGTACAACCAGACTGTCATAGCCCTAGAGTATCGGGAGGAAATGACTTTCACGTGCCCTTATGGTACTTTTTCTTTCAAGCAAATGTCATTCAGTCTTTGTAATGCACTGACCACTTTTCAAAGGTGCATGATGGCCATTTTCACTGATATAGTGGAAAATTTTGTAGAAGTCTTCATGGATGACTTTTCGATCTTTGGGTCTTCTTATGATGATTTCTTGAAGAATTTGGCCAAGGTGTTGGCACACTGTAAAGAAACGTATTTGGTGCTAAATTGGGAAAAATGCCATTTTATGGTGCAAAAGGGCATCGGTTTGGGTCATCGAGTATCAAAAAGCGAAATTGAAGTTGATAAGGCGAAGGTGGAGGCAGTTGGAAAATTTCCTCCACCCATTTTTGTGAAGGGTGTACAGAGTTTCTTGGGACATACATGTTTCTAAAATTGCTACTCCATTGTGCAGGTTGCTCGAAAAGGATGTGACATTCAAATTTGATGAAGCTTGTCTGAAGGCGTTCGAGGAGCTTAAGGAGAAGTTGGTGGCTACCCCCATCATAGTGGCACCTGATTGGTACTTGTCATTTGAATTTATGTGTGATGCAAGTGACCATGCTATTGGGGAAGTGCTAGCCAAGAGGAAGGATAAGATGTTCTACTCCATATACTATGCGAGTAAGACTCTTGATGAGGTACACCTAAATTACACCACCATTGGGAAGGAGCAGTTTGCAGTTGTTTGAGAAATTTAGGGCTTACTTGGTGGGAACAAAAGTCATAGTCCACACCGATCATGCAATAATCGGATATCTATTTAAGAAAAGAGAATCCAAATCTAGATTGATGCGCTGTATTTTGTTGTTGTAGGAATTTGATGTACAAATATGAGATCGGAATGGCACAAAAAACCAAGTGGCTGACCACCTGTTGCAGCTGAAAAATCATGAGTACGCGGAGGAAGGTGGACAAATTAAGGAGACATTCCCTGATGAGCAACTTTTTTCCATTATCCATGACCCTGACCCATGGTACGCGGACTATGTAAACTATCTTATGAGTGGAGTTCATCCTCCTGAAATCTAATCTGAGGTCAGGAAGATATTTTTGCATGATGTGAACTTTTACTACTGGGATGGCCATTCTTGTACAGACAATATACTTACCAAATGATGAGGAGATGCATCCTGAAAAAGAGGTGGAACTAGTGTTGTATAACTGCCATGCCTATCCTTATAGGGTCAATTATGGAGGCGATAGGGCGACTGCAAAAGTGTTGTAGTCGGGGTTCTATCGCCCAACGTTGTTCAAGGATGCCCATGCATTTGTTAAGAAGTGTGACCATTGTCAGAGAACAGAAACACTCATGGGGAGGCATGAGATGCCTTTGAACAATATCTTAGAGGTGGAGATTTTTTATGTATGAGGCATAGACTTCATGGGACCATTTCCATTGTAGAGGAAACAAGTACATTTTGCTAGCAATGGACTACGTGTCCAAGGTGGATGTTGTTGCATTGCCAACTAATGATGCCAAGGTGGTGGCCACTTTTGTGAAAAAGAACATATTCTCCAGGTTTGGGACTCCACGTGCTTTGATCAGTGATGAAGGAACACATTTCTGCAATCGGTTGTTGAATAATCTTCTAGCAAAATATGGGGTCCTCTATAGAGTTGCCACTACATATCATCCGCAAATAAGTGGATAAGATGAAGTTTCCAACAGAGAAACAAAGCAGATACTAGAAAAAAACAATAAGTGTGAACATGAAAGATTGGGCTGCAAAGATAGATGATGCCTTGTGAGCATATATGACTGCATACAAAACACCAATTGGGGCATATCCGTACAAGCTTGGATATGGGAAGGCATGTCACTTGCCGGTTGAACTTGAACATAAGGCATATTGGGTAGCCAAAAAGTTGAATATGGACTTGGAAGTTGCAGGCGAGAAGAGGTTCTTGCAGTTGAATGAGTTCGATGAGTTCAACTTGCACTCCTATGAAAATGCTAAGCTATATAAGGAGGAAACCAAAAGATGGCATGAAAGGTGTATCAAGCCTCGTCACTTTGAACCAGGCCAAAAGGTAATATTTTTCAATTTCAAACTCAAGCTATTTCCTGAAAGTTAAAATCGTGGTGGTTAGGTTAATTTGAGGTGGTTAGAGTCACCCCATATGGTGCAATCGAGTTGCGTGCTTGAAATGGTGAAAGATAATTTTTGGTGAACGGGCATAGAGTCAAGCACTATTGGGGAGCCGTCATTGATCGCTAGATGTCCAAAGTAATACTCGTTGATGAGTAAGCGAGGCCCTGCATCATGCCGCAACGTTAAATCAGGTGCTTGTTGGGAGGCAACCTAATCTTTATTGCTTTCGTAGATTAGTTTTCTCCTTTTAGTTAGAGTAAACTAGAGTTTTTATTTTTCTTTGTAGCTACAGATATCGAAGGTAGAAATGGTATAGAATATGTATAATGGATATACAAAATGCTCGGGAGGACCAGGGATTCATTAAAAAAAAATCAAAAACTAGCGTGCAGGCCAGCACGGCGCAATGCTTGGCGCCCAAAAAATAGATCAATACCCACAACCAACGCTGAGTTAGCACGACGCGCTGGGTCTGGAGGTCCAGGTAATTTTTTTTCATTTTTACTTTTAAATTAACCCGTTGACCCCAACCTAGATACCCGTTTTTACCCTTCTAATGACCCATGCCCATAACCCATACCCATTCACCCATCGGAGGATGAGAACACTAACAAGGGATTAGATGATGAGGATGATATAGATGTTGAGGTCACAGGGCCAATGGCTTTGGTACCCCTTGGAGCAGATGATGATGAGCCTGAAGCTTCGGTTGGTGGAAGTTCAAAAGATGAAGGTTTAGAGTACGGCCCCGATGGGTTCGAGTAGCAGAGAGTTTTTCTCTCCACCTTACTTTTGTTTTGGTTTCCTATATGTATCGAGGACTATGCATCACATAAGTGTAGGGTGGGGGAACTACTTTTTGAGTGTAATTGTATAAAAACATTTTCTCATTATTATATTTTATTATATATATAATTTGTAGTTAGAAGTGGTCTAGCTTAGAGTCGTAGACAATTATTGAAAAAAATAAAAATATAGAAAAATCAGAAAATGCTCGGAGTTTTCCCGATGATGGATCTCTTTGACAACTTTCTTAAGGGATTAAGGTCCGATTAAAAATACCAAAAATATTTTTTTTGTTTTATTAGGATAGTTAGGTAGTAATTCCCTTGGTTTTTCTTTGGGCACCGGTTCTTTTCCAATGGTGTATCTTGAACTGGGTTTTTTGGTTTTATCATTTTAGGAGTAGGATAGGAAAAAAACTGAGTTGCTCTAAATACCTATTGACATGGTTGGTGCTGGTATATTAGGCTATGGGCTCTTTGTCTTCTTGTTGTATTTGATTTGAAATGTGATGTCTGATCACGTCCAAATGCATGCCTCAAAAGAGGTATGACATGGTCGTTTGCAATAATAAACCCAACAAACAGTCGGGATCGAATCCTCAGGGAGCTAAGGTGGGAGCTAGGAGTATATATTCGGAATAAGCAAGTGAAATATCTGGATTGCACTTCCACAAATAGGTTTTTGTTTCTACTTCTAAAATTAAGCTAATGATTACAAATTTAAAGATATAAAACTAGAGTTAATTATTTTTGAGTGTTTTCCAAATATATAAAAGGCCTAGGACTGAAACCATAACCTAGGTGTTTGCCTAATGGGATAAAAACTTTTATGCACGTTTTACTGATTGGGGTATATTATAGCTCACAATACCACATTACCCACTCAATACCTCTCGGTCAAGAGTGATTTTGCCCAATTTGTCTTTTTCAAGACCAAATGGGTATCTACCAAATCAGTTGATAAGAGATCTGGTCGGGTTGTTACTATCTCTAGATTAAACTCTTTATTTGGGTTAATCAATCTCTCAATTGACCCAATTCCTTGTTAGCTAAGTTAACCTAGACTAGGTCCCTCTTTCTCAAGAAGAGACTAAGTCAAATAGGCTTGAATCAATGTTTGCAACCATCAACTCTATAATTGAAGCATGAACTAAGATAAATAATAAATACTCAATCATAAACAAGCATAAGATTAATCACCCATAAGGTTTACACACAAGGGTCGGATCATAACCCTAGTAAAAATCTAGCTACTCATAGTAGGTGTAGAAGAAAAAAATAATGAAACTCATATTGGAAGATTAAAATAGAGAAATATAATGTTAAAATACCAAAATAAGCTAAAGTTTCCTAAAGAAGCAAATAAAAATGGCTATAGTACTTTAGATATTCAAAAACATAACCTAATTTCGTGAAACTCTTCTATTTATACAAGGCTGAAAATTTCGAACAAAAATGCCCCTCGGGAGATTTTGCGGCCGCACAATTCCATGTGCAGTCCGCAGGTTTCTTCATCTTGTCAAAAATTGGAGGTCTACGACCGCACAATTCTGAACTGCGGCAACGAGGCAATATTTTTGTTGTTCGTAGATTTAGCCCTATGGCCGCAAGGCACTCTTTTGCGGTCCACAATAGAATGATTGCGGCTGAAAAATAATCTTCTGTGGCCACACAAATCTTGTGCGGACCACAATTCGAGGAAGCTCTGGTCTTGGCATTTTGTCATCTCTCTGATCTTGGATCCTAGCCCAGCTTTTGCAACCCTACAATTCATGTGCGGTCCACAATTTGCTCAAAAGTCTGCTTAGTTTTCCTTCTTTGATTACAGCCATAGATGGAATTTTGCGGACATCACATTGTAAGCTTCTCCTTTTATTGCCTTGTATTTAGACTACTCCTTTTTGAGTCGGATTTCATCTCGGGAGTCCAACTTCCAACATTCCTGCAATTTTGCACATTTTGTTATTTTCGAGAACATAATTCAATGCTTTTAGACTAAAATAAAAGCTAAAAGGTGCTAATAAGTAGTCAAAATCCCCACTTATCAACTCCCCCAAACTTAAGTCTTTGCTTGTCCTCAAGCAAATAGAATAGTTCCCACCTCCGAAAGTTAAGGGACATTACAGCTAGCCACTGGTGAGCCATTCACATCTCAGTTGGAACCAACAATTACCCACACCACTCATGCATTATTGACAAGGCGACAAGTTAGACATTTAAGCACATATAGATCTAATGTGACATTCGAGCATCAAGAGTTGACTTTACTCATCAAGGACTCTCGCTCTATCTTGTAGGTCATGGTGGACTCCAAACTCTTCCTCCTCTACTTTCCATTTGCCAAGATCACTTAAGAATTTAGCACTCAATTCAAAGATTTATGAAAGGTTCACTCATCTCTCTCAAGAGAATGTCACAAGTACGGCTTCCAGTACCATAGGCTTGCCCCTCATGTAGATCACCAATAATGTAAGCTTACTTGGCTCAAAATCAAATAGTACTTCTTTCGGGATGTAATGAAGGCTTTTGGATTAGGGATTGATACAATCTGGGTGAGTGGTCACACCTTCCTTAAGCATTCCATCTTTCAATTCTCGGCTCATACTTTGCCGATTCCTTGAGGCATTTTCTTTTCCTTGGGGGACTAGAGAAACTTAACATCACTCTTTCTTGATCATTACGTTCATATTTCTTCCATGTTTGGGATCATTGCCTTTCTTTTAATCCCTTCAACTCTTCCACTTATTCACTTTTTTTTTGTATTTCTTTTTTTGTTCATTTCTTTTCTTTACCTTTCTCATCATTTCTTTTCTCTTTTTGTGCCTTGATACCTCTTTTCAATTTACTCGCCTCTCCCCCAAACTTACGCTTTTAGCCATTTATTTCACATGAATGTTAAAGAAAGCTCGGGTGCCAAGAGCGGGACACGATAGAACGCGTACATGCTTGTAACATGGTTTTCAAATGAGAAAGGCTAAAGGCTCGACGGGATTGACTAGGGATGACATCTTTGGTAGGCAATAGAACAATGAAACGGGCCAAGGAGAGCCTACCATCACTTCTCAAGCCAAGCAAAACTTAAGATTTTGCCTTAAAACACATTCGGGGCAAGTTCTAGACCTTCCGCATAGGTACTTGGACTAGCAACAAAATATCTCATCCCTCATGCAACTAGATTGTTAAAGAGGATAGATTCGAGGTCTCACAACAACCACATTCAAGATTATAGATCACTTTGGTCCAATTAGACTCCTCAATGGTATCAAAGTCAACACAAGAGTCACATATATAGTGACTAACTAGAGCTATTTCCTTTTAAAAACCTTGTCTCTAACCATAAGCACGTA